TTATTTTTCCTCTGCCCCATCACTTAGCTTCCCTTCATGGCTGCACTCCCCATGGGGAACCCATGGGTGACAGACAGCAAGCTCACTGCCAAAGGCAGGTCCCCCTTTGCTTACCCCCATCTTTTGTTGGGGCGCAGCACTGATAGAACCAACCAAGCCTGAGGTTTCCCCAGGCACGGCATCCCCCCTCAGGATGCTCACCTTTAACTAAAATACCAGCCCCCCCTTGCCAATGCCCTCTCTGAAAGGGGGAGGGACCACCAGGGCAGCCCCTATCCCCAGCAGCACTCCTTGCTCATGGATTTTCACATACACACGTAGGTGTGCACACAGGTGGTTGTGAAGCTCATAATCCTGCATGCCTGACCATTTATTTTGCCTTTGCAAAACCACCATGTTGCGTACCAGCTGGTGCAAAAGAGCTATTTGTGTTGGAAACAGCTTTCAGCAACTCCCGTGCCGAGCCGGTGGGACACTGTCTGAATTTTCCCTGAGCTGTCGGGGCTCCATAGGGTGGGAGTAAAAAAGACAGCCAAGAGGCGATGGGGTCACCTGCAACTGAGCTGTAGCTCTAAATGCACGGGGACAGGCAGGCTGTCTGTGTGCCACAGTGTGATGCTGGGAGGAGCCGAGAGGACCCCCCAGGTGCAGATCCCTCAGTGTCCTGGCTTGTGGCCCCTCTGTGGCACCATGGGACTGGTGGTCCTGCTCATTGGCTGAGAAAAATCAAGTCATTTTCTGGAGGGAGAGGAGACACCTGCACCCCAGTGATTGGAAATACATCTGTGACTGCCTGGAAAGCTGTTTTTGCTACATGAAAAGCTGGGATATGAGGACAGGGCCTTCTCCAGACTGTATCACCTCTTGGCTTCCCTGCTAGTACAGCTCATTTATTTGGTTTGGCATCGACTAGCCGAGTCGTGTAGCTGCCAGGTTCACCATGTTATAAGGAGCTGCTGAAGTCAGGAAGAGCTTTTGGCTGCAGGAAAGCCCTGCAGATGTTGTCCAGGTGGTCCTGCTCTCCACGAGCATTTAGGAATAGACAAGCCATGTGACAATTTTACAATGATTACTTTTAATTCGAAACATGTCAGGAATTCCTATCAGGCTCTGGAGCAGGAGCAAAGGACAGAGTACTGTGTGAAGGTTGGGCTAGGTGTGCAGCGTGTGCTGGCAGCATATGCCAAGAGGTGCCAGAGGAGCAGGACTCATCGCAACATGGAGGGGACTGGCACTGCAGACCAGCTTGGAAATAGTTGTCAGGCTTTGCCACGCGGTGTTTTATACCATGCTGCTTGTTGGGCGGGATAGCTGGTGAAGCCAAGAAGAAGGAGAAATGTTGCCTGTCAACATTCAAATTCTTGTGGTTCCCCCATTTCAGAATTTTGACTCAGGATGCAGCTGAGGCAAAGAGAGACTCGTGACACTGAGTGTGGCTCCTTCGTGCCCTACACTCTCCTGACTGGGGAATTGTATCACCACCTGCAGGCCTCTCTTCTTCAAAGGCATCTCCTGGACAAAACGAGGTAAATGCAGCCAGATCCAGCCCCTACTCCCCCTCCAGATGCTCCGCACCATGTTACTGCTGAACGAGAAGCTCAGGCCACATGCAAAAGCAGGTTTACACCCCTCACCTAGGTTAGGGGGACATTTGGATGCTCAAGGTACAACCTGCTCCTTCCCTCTCTCCTGGTTCTGTGGCTGTACATAGCCTGGAAGACACATGGACCCTGCCCAAGCCCACCGGGGGAGAAGGAAGGGAGTCTTCCTCTGCCCACAAACCCTCTCAACTCATCCGGTGACCTCAGAGCACCCCTGAAGCCCGCTAGCAGAATTGGAAGCTGCCGATTTCCTTGCAAAGGCATCTGCTGCCTCACCCCCTCCCAGCGTCTCTGCCTCAGCCTTGCCCTGGCCAGCTTAAGTCACTCCTCCTGGCCTCTCTCCACTCTCTTTCAGACACCTTTTGTCCACAGGTCTGTTGCTAACTTCTGAAGATTTTGAAGAACTGCCAAAAGGCGATCCAGAAAGAGATTCCGACTTCTGCTCAGGCATCTCTTACCTTTAACTGGCCTTTATTTATGTGGGAATTCCTACGGAAAGAAAATGAGATGTAAGGTCTTCTCAAAAAAAGCAGGGTCTGCAGAGGGGTCTTCCCTGTTTTCTCTGCCCCTTACATTGCTTGTTCACTTTACAAATATCCAACAGAGAGAAACCTCAAGTTGCCTTAATGTTTATTTTATTTAAAGAATCAGAAACACAGTCATTGTAGTTCATTTGTACTCATATCCGCCAACATTTTCTAAATCACGTTAACATTCATGTATAACAAAAACATTTTCTGAGCTGTGCAAAGTTCAAAGGAATTGTTCAATTACTTGAACCCATTTCTAGAAGAGAAAACCTGGCATTTTACAAACTGAGGCCACCAGAAAGAGTCTTCTCTTTCCTCCCCTCCCTGTTGTAGGAGACGCAGATGCCCCTTCCTCTCCCTTTCCCTGGTATGACAGGTAAAAATTAGACCACAGTACGAATCGAACCTCTTTCAGTCCAGGACTTTCCGAATGGCACTGGGTCATGTTTTCGTATCACTGAGCTGTATTAAGTTATGCACCTGTGCTCCTGGCATGGAAGTGATTTGTCCAAGAAGATTACTCAGTAACCCAAACTCTGATGATAAGCAATAAATGGGGGCCAGAAACAGCTATTATCAAAATAGAAATACACTGCTGCACCCACCCCCCCCCAATATTTTCCTGGCAGGAGGTATGACTGGAAGGGTTGTCATCCATTAAAAAACCCATCATCCTCACTGCAAAATATACTTTAAAGCACTGATTTCATGACACGACATCTGTGTGTTTTCCTTGGTCTTGTCACACACCACCTTTTGTCCTGTTAAGAGTTAAGCACGAAAAGGTGGAAATCTGGATCCATTTTAGATCTGGCTAAACATAATAGGCAGCAAGCAAGCCGTCATCCTGTTTCGTGTTTCTGAGTGTAGTAAATACACCCATGGAACAGAATTTTAAGAGAGTTTTAACCACTGTAAGTAATCAGAAAAAATGTCCCCATCTTTGACAGATCAGAATTTTTATTGGAATCAATATAACGCATTTTGGCATTGCTGGCTCACTGACTGTGCAGTTTACTGTTTGAGGTGCAGTGATACCAATTCTGATGTGGACCAAATAAATGGAACAGATATGGCTCTAGTCTCAAGCAAGTCTTTCCAGAAGATGTTTCTTCAGTCTCTTATTGGTTATAAAAAGGCAATTTCCTCTCAACAGTAACTAAACTTTTAGTGGCTGGCTCATTACAATCTGGAATATGAACAAATGCGGCAACGTTAAATATAAAAAGAAACATCCTGAAAATGATGCCTCCCTGTTTGAAGGTGCTATACTTGGCCATGGACTGTGTTTCTGGAATCGGTTCGTTACATGTGACAGCAAGAAGAAACTTATTTTACAGAGAACAAAGTCACGGAGCCGAACTTAAATAGGAACGCTCACTTACATGGGTTTTGGTATGTACTAGTATACACGGCTTGAATGAAAACAAAACTTACACCTTCGCATATGAAATACTGGTAACACAGTAATGATGTTCACCCACTGGGCCTCTTCCTTTTAATAAGATCATCTCCAGGTTACAGTGCCTCCGACATGCTTTTAAATGACCACCACATGTGAGCTTTGGCAAACAGCCAGCCACTGGCAAAGGCAAGGTACGGATAGAGCTACGAAAAACCTTTTATCACGTTTCATTCCTCGAGAGCCGATGCCTTTTTAAATACACTCACAATCGCTTTCCAGATTTTTTTCCCCCCTTCTCATTCTGCTTCATATGAATAACTGGCTAAACTCGCTTTACATTTATTGCACTTTTAAGTCCCTGGTAGATGGAAGCTTATATTGCCTGATACGGTTTGTATTGTAGCTTGACCACGTTAAGAAATCGAACAGTCTCCAGAACTGTACGTTTCTACAGTAAGAAATCACATTTCGATAACGTTAATTACAGCCATTGCAGATCAGCTTTCATCTCCGTGATGCAATGACAGAGGAAAACTCCACAGTCCCTGCGTGTGCTAGAACCTGCAGTGTTCTTCTTATTGCCATGAAAAAGTCAATTAAGACAACTCCTCTGGGAACTACTTCCAACTCTGAAGTAATTATTACTCTCCCGACAGAACATTGTGCTTCAGCGTGGTTCTTCAGCCACTCTGAACGCACGGGAGCGAGTAAGCGTGTGCGTGTTGCATCGACATGTTTCTCCAGGTATATTTGCTGGCGACCAAACAGCTCTTTTCCTCTACGAAGCACGAACAAGCAGTCTGATCTCGGTCTTCAGGTACATTTCTAATTTCAGATGTTGAATGCAGATCTTGCTGCAGCCTCTCTGTTTAACCAAACCAAACCTTTAACAGTTAAAAAAAATAGCACCAGATGTATGAAAAAGAGGAAATGTCTGATCTAGTAGGAATATATATAAAGTAGAGCAATTCTTACAGTAAAAAGGTACATCATACAAAAAAGCAATGGGAAGTGATACCAAAGGACAAAAACCCATGCTGCATATAATAAGGGCAGAAGACAGGCAAAAGGGATTCTGCTCAAATAACCACAGTTTGAAGGTGGAGCTGTACTTCCTCCAGGATCTCCCTGGCAGCAGGCCGGGACACCGGATGGTGCGGGACTCTCAGCACGAACACGCTCACTGACAAACTTGCGCAGCATGTCTTTGAGGTATATAGAAAGCATGACATTAACGTTTTGGACTCCTCATTCTTTCTTGCGTGATGATGCATCGATCTTCAGCTGAGCTTTTCACCACCCTCCCCTCCCTCATTTTCTCTCGGGAAAAATGAAATCCCAGTTTAAGAGCTTCCTAGCACACCTCCTTGAACTCTCAAATCCATCTTGCATAGGCCAGTAATAAGAACACTGCAGCTCTGACAAATAAGTTACAGCAATATAACAACTTTCCTCTTAATTTCTTTTTTTAAAGATATCTTCTCTATAATTTACACAAAAGGGTTAACAGTCGGAGTTTAGGTTACGTACAGTCCAGATGGGCGTCCTTTCAGTCTGTGATTCCAGGTGGAAGGCACTACTTCAACATACCACTGTATGCACCGCACGTGGTCTCAGGAGCACAGCGGGGCACTGCATCTCCAGAGCTGTAGACTGAAGGGCCTGGGAAGGGAGTCTTTGGAAATAGAAATGGCAGTGGTTATCAGTCCAGTTTCTCTTTGCTGTCTCTCCTTGTGCTATGCAGTTTCCCCTGAAAGCTCCTCCAGTTGAGAGAGCAGCGAGCTGACCTCAGAAGCTCTCGACAAAGCTGCCGGGGAAGAGGCCCGTCCTGCCGTTCCTCTGCAACGTCCCTTTGTACCAGCCGTCCTCCCGCTTCTTGTGCACAAACACAATGTCACCTTCCTTCAGTTCGATCTCGGCCTCGCTCTGCGGCGGGTACGGGACCACGACGCGATACCTTTGGAGACAAAAGCGCAAAGACCTGGTCAGCCAGCCGCTGAGCCCGTGCCTGATGGAAGCAGCCAGGCACCAGAACCATGAATCTTGAGGAAAAATGCTTTTGGAAGCATTGATAAGTTACATTTTCACATATCAGTTGTAGCCTATGCAGCTCAATTTTCTACTAAAACTCAGTATGACAGGGAGATTTCTAGCCAGCTTGCCTGGAGACTTGACCAGGACATGTTCTGGAGTCAGCCCATGAAGGCAGGAAGGTATTATCAAATGGCTGGGCTACCTGCAGTGATCCCCGCTCCTGGTCACAGGCTGAGCCTGCCCCAGGGACTTGGCTGCTTTCTCACGGCACTGCACCTGCCTCTGCTGTAACACATCTCATTCAGCATTGCATCTGCTCCATCCAAAATCACAGAATCATAGAATGGTTTGGATTGGAAGGGATTTTTAAAGGTCATCTATTCTAACCTCACTACCCCACATGGGCAGTGACACCTTTCACTAGATCAGATTGTTCAGAGCCTCATCAAGCCTGACCTTGAATGTTTCCAGAGATGAGGTTTCTACCACATCACTGGGCAACCTTTTCCAGTGTTTCACCACCCTCATCATAAAAAAAATTTCTTTCTCGTATCTAGTCTGAATCTACCAGCCTTTACTAAAAAGTCTGTTGCCATCTTTCTTATAAGCCCACCTCAAGTTTTGAAAGGCTGCAATAAAGTCTCCCTGGAATGTTCTATTCTTGAGGCTGAACAACCCTCAGACCCATGTGCAGGACCTTGCACATGGCCTTGTTGAACCTCATGAAGTTCACATGTGCCCACTTTCCAAGCTTGTTCACGTATGGATGGCATCCCATCGCTCAGGCATGTAAACTGCATCACTCAGCCTGGTGTCATCTACAAGCTTGCTGAAGATGCATTCAATCCCACTGTCTATGTCATTGGTGACGACATTAAACAGTGCTGGTCTCAATATAGACCTCTGAGGGACACCATTTGTTGCTGATGTCCATCCAGACACTGAGCCATTGACCATTACTCTCTAGATGTGGCCATCCAACCAATTCCTTATCTACCAAACAATCCACGAAATCCTCATCTTGCCAGTTAAGAGAAGGATGTTGCGGGGGACTATGCCAAAGACCTTACACAAGTCCAGACAGATGACATCTCTAGCTCCTCTCCTGTCTACTGCTGGTGAAAAATGGGTTTGCAGTGCTCCCACCAACTGGCTATGATATCGGGAGAGGTTAGCTAAAGCATTGCACATTTTTTTTCTCACTGTGTTTTTTAAGAATGTACCAGGCCCTCAAACCTGGAAGGGAGCGATATCAAATGACTTTCAAAGCGCCCTCCAAACCAACAGGGAGCCCCCATCCTAAACCATTCACAGGGCTCTCTGAGAACTTAGTTTTCAAGTGTCACTTCATTTCAATGAAGTGATGATGAGTCTGGTCCTGATACGGCTGTTCTGCACTCAGGCTTATCAGCAGGTGTTCTCCTGAGAGCACAGACTGGGCACTTTTATATCAATGCACTTATGTGCAGAGCAAGGAATACATTTTTGCTGCATCATATTTTTTTTCTTCAGCACATGTACTTTCACAGTCATTTGGCATTTGGTTAACAGTCAATAACTGTCTTGCTAATTGCCAAGTAATGAATATAGTAAGATAGTTAAAAGATGTTGATTGATTACTTAAAGACAATCTCCCGATGATTAATATTTTCACAACCACTGCATGGCCACTGATATCTCAGTCAGGTTTGTTACAAGGCGAGTATTTTTTTAAAACAATATCCTGTCCTTGAGGGCTGACTTCAGCATTCCCTGGAGGCTCTGGACCACTCCTTGAGGCCATTTCCAGTACCAAAGCAAGGAGCTCTTCAGTGACAGCCACTAATTTTCTTTGCAGACATTGCTCAGGTACCTAGTGACAGCGGTTCTGAACCTCCACTTTTACATGACAGTGAAAATACTAGCTTTGGCTCTATGTTTGGACATGTCTATGCACAAGTACACCATTACTTGGGAAAGCATTAAACATCTGGAGTAAGGGTTCTGCTCTAAAACCTGACTGTGGCCTTTTAATCTTGACACAGCACCACAGTCATGTAGAAAATATATGTGTTCAAGCACCATCAAAAATCTTCTGGTCACCTCTCTCTCTTGGTCAATAAATCTAGCTGTCACTTCCTTCCTCTGTGGAAAAGCAAATAGCAGAGGTTGAAATATGTGCCGCTGGCTGGCTTCAGGAAAATGGTCTATCATGCTATCATCTGTGGAACTGCTACTCTTACATTACGAAGCTTTGCCAATTACATCCATTATGCAAATGAATGCACACATTATTTCAAACACTCTGCTGCAGTGTTGATTAATTAAATTATCAGAGTGGAACAATTTGAGCTAAGATGATGCCAAGTTTCAGATCTCACAACTCTATGCACAATCAGAGCACACTGGAGCTCTGCACCAGGACCTCAAGAGGCTTCAAGAATGAAGGAGGTCAGACCTCAGCATTAGTCAAGTGGTGCCAAGGTACTCACGGACCCTTTTTTTTGGCAGATCAGGAATAGAAACGGTGAAAAGGGTGGTGTCTTGGGCAGGGTTTCCCTGAAGCTCGGACTACCAGCACCTCATGTCGTACCTGAATCACAGAGGCATCCTTTTAAAGCTAGACTACATCCTAGGAGCGAGGAGCTGCTAGCCCCTAAATGGTTCACGTGAGGAGGGAGGTAACCACGCTCAACAGGCGTGTGCCCTTCATCATAAAAGGGGTTCTACACAGGATCTCCTTAGAGTGTTAGAAGAACAAAACTCAGTTGCTGCATTACCAAACAAAGCACTTTTTTCTTCCCATTTAAGGAAAACTCAAATGCCATGGTTTAGATTTAATTAAGTACGGTGCTTCGTAGGACAGAACCAAAGCGTTTCTTGACAGAATAAGGAAACCTTAGATACAGAAGACCTTGCAAATTGGTTAAGAAATCGTCCTGAGAGACGGAAAAAGATGCTGTGCTTTATCCCTTGAGAGGCTTTCGCAGCGGGGCCCGGCAGAGGCAGCCCGGCGAGGGCTGCAGTGGGCAGGAGCCCAGCACCGCTGCTGTGCCACCTCTCCGCGCCTCCAGGTGGCATCTCTGCCTCGTTTATCCCCTGGACCGGAATTGCAAATACAGATACTGGCCGTATTTTTTTTGGCAGAAAAGGTCTCTTCTCCCAGACATCCTCTCTCACTCCCAAAAAGGCAAACCCGCATACTTCTATTTATATCTCCCCTTTTCATTTCCCCTTTTGTCCCCGCTTTGAGCAGCTCCTATAAAATTGTAGGTTTTCTGATGCTGAACTGTCTCCCGGTATTTGAGATGGATCTCAGAGCCTTCTGAATTTTGTCTGTGTCACACCACACTTCGAAATTACCAGCTTTTAAAAATGCTAATTAGCTGGACAGTAATCATGATGATAAGTGTGGCAACCACCTCTGCCTATTATTAACATTGTTTGGTATTTTCTGTTGTAAATCATACTCTCAGAGAGTTGCGATTCTGCCAGATGTTAATTATTTTGGCCCAAAGTCTCAACGGCAGTTTACTGTGTCAGGATTAGGGACCTGTGTTCATCTCAAATGGTCTGATCACCTCCAGGAGTAACGTGAGGGGTTTCACAGCACCAGCAGGACCCAGGTGAAGGCTTCCATAATCTGTCCTCAGGTGCCCATACTTGGGAGCAGAGACCTCCTCTGGTCTGTCCAGGATGGGGTTCCTTCAGAAAACCACCTGCTCTCAGGTGGGTTAAAAGCATTCAAACCACCTCAAAAGGGCACATGCTTAGAAAAGGCTTGAGGTAAAACTCTCTGCTGATTCATGCTGCGAGATGTCCTAACTCTTACATCCTAACTCTTGGGATGTCAGGGCAGTATTTCTCTTCCTTTCCAAGCAATGGGTTCCTCTCCTGCTTTTTTTCTCTGAGGCCACAGATTTGATGTTGGACTTCCCCACCACTGTCTGCTGTGACATCCTTGGGTTGGGCACTTCTTTCCTGGAGGGGATTGTCTGGGATGGGCAGTGGCCTGGGGAGGGTCCTCGGTGCCAGAGTGAAAATAAATGAGGAGAGGCTGCAAGTATTATTAGCACGGCAGATGGGGTTTGCCTGGGCAGGGAAACCTCAAGGAGTTGGAGAGCGGGGTAAGGTGAGGTCAGGGAGCAGGAGAGGGATCAAGAGGCTGATGGGAGAAAAACTGGGAGCTGAGGGAGCATTGGGACCATGATGAAAACTGGAAGCCCTGAGAGAAAGTGTGGACAGGGTTTCTGAGGGAGCAGCTGTGCTGAGCTGAGACTGGGAGAGCAAAGAGCCTTGGTGGAAGCCAGCCTGGGACTGGGACATGACATCCTGTGAGGCAGGAGACTGCATGGGTGGAGGCTGGCACTGAGGCTGAGGGTGGGATGGGGACCCTGGCAGCAATCAACTCACTGAGAGCTGGTAATGCGTCTGTCATCCCTGCCTCTCTGCTGTCAGCAAAGGCCTGAGAACCCCACTGTCCTGTCTTCACAGCACTTGACCTTCCAGTCAAAAGAAACATCCCTCCCACCACAAAGCTCTCACTTTGCCAGCGCTGCCAACAGCTGCAAAGTGCAGCTAAGACTCCTAAACTCAAATAGATGTTACACAATGGAAGTTCTTGTTTTGTTTCCTTTAGAAAAGCAAACTGACTCAAAATCAGGTATGTAGACACGTAAAGACATCTACTAACTTAACAGAATGTTTCACATCAACGAACCCGCGATGAAGAAACAGGAAACTAAAATTACCCATGACTTCACTTTTGCTTCCATGCAATATAATCTTTCATTACATGATTGCATACTATTTTTCCCATAGGATGCCTGCCTCATTTAGTGCACAAGATGTCCTGCTCTGGATGTGAGTCAAGGCTCTGACACAGAAGAGATGTGTGGCTGCCAAAGCCACTCCATCTTTTGCAGAGGTTGGAAAGTCTCTAGC